CCCGCTCCGCGGCGCGACACCTCCCGCCATGACCCATGAGCTTTGCACCAATCGACGGAAGAACACCCTGATCCGTTCAGGACTGATCAGGTGCATGCATGGGACGGGGGGCCTCGATCAGAACGCGAGCAGGCAGACAACACGCACGCGCTCGATCTATCGGCGACCGTCCGATCGGGCAGGGTAAAGTCCGCGAGCGTCCGGATCCCGATGCCACGTGTGACGCGGGCAGGGAGCGCGACTGCGCGAGCGAGCCAGTGGCGCGCGTACAGTACGTGAGGACAAGCTGGCGTGGCGAGTGACACTGCATGTATCGTGCCACCGTTGGGCTAGCTAGCAGCTGCTTCCCAGCTGGCCGTTCTCAGACAGACTCAGCGATCTGTGCGCGGGCAGTGGCAGCAGCAGCAGCCAGCAGGCCCTGCCGCGATAGGTCCGTTGACGTGCTCCCGGCCCGCTGTCGTCGTCGCATTCGCGTCCGTCCCGCGAGGCCGAAACCACGTCGGCACGCGTATGGCGCCTTGTGCACGCGGATGCGGGCGGTACAGGGCGACGTACGTACGTACCCTGACCGATCCATCGCTCGAATTATTCACTTATGTCTCGTGTTGTCTGCGTTAGCACACGTGAAGCTTACAGACCGGATACACCGCCCACGTAGGCCATTGGGTAACCGGGGAAATACCAATACCCAGGCAGGAACACACCAAACCGTGCTCTGATCCTGTTCAATGCTAGAGCACACGTACTGTACATCCTGTTTTAATAGCTAGCCCTGACAGGCAGAGTGACAGTGGATCAGCACTTGAGATTTGCTTACGCCCGTTCTTGATCTCCTGTGTCCGGCCTGTGGCTGTGGAGTGTGGGTAGTTTTTGAGTGTCGTTTTGGCCGGGGCTACAGGCTACAGGCTACACGCCGGGCAGGGGCAGCCAGCTAGCGATCACCACACAAATTTGAAAAGATTCGGCCTGGCCCGGGCGCGGCCTGTCAAGAGCATCGTGGCACTGTCTGTCCAAATTGCGAGTGGATGGCTGGAGTGACGGCACCACAGTGCCGCCCCGCATGCCATATTGAGAACTCCAGAGCCCTACTACCCTCCCTCCCCGTCCTGATATGTTCACTGTAGCTCTACGCCAAATGCCAGGGTGCCGACGCCGGGGATCCACTGAAGAGGATTTCTGAACTCAAAACTGAAATTAAAATTGGCTGTCAATTGATTTGCAGAGTTTGCTGCAACCGAGCTGAAATTTATCGCATCTTAAGCAGACCTGAGCATCTTTTCACCTGCGTCCGGCAAGGTGAAAGTACAAATACTTAGGCAAATACGGATTGAATTTAGTACGAAACGTACAAAAGAAAGAAGAGGAGGAAGATTCATACGAGGGGAAAAAAAAAGGAAACATCTGTCGGCATGCGAGTTCTAAGACAGAAGAGTATGGTCACAGTGCAGAACCATCGTCGTCTCCTAATAAAGTGGTGATGTTTAATCGTCATTATTAGCATTTTTGACTTGTCAAATTCCATGTACGTACATTGTCATGCCCACAACTCCAGAAGAGAGATGCCACGTTTATGTAAGACAACCAACCAAAGAACTCATTCGTCAGACAGGTTGCAGAACATACATGGCTGCGACGACAGATCTTGCAGAAGATGATCGGCGCCGTTCGGCTGACATGAACGGCGGCTGAAAATCACTGTTTGAAGCTGAAAATACTGTTCATTCTCTCACAAATTCCGCTCAAATTCCTCCAGATTTATTCAGATTTCTCTAGATTCATCAAGCGAACAAGCCCGATATCTAAAACCTGGTGGTGGATGCAATCCCCCCATTTATGCCCCATGCTTGCTGTAACTTATTTCTGAAGAGTTCGAGAGAACGAGATCGATGTCGGCCTCTCTCCTGTTTCTGCAATTGCAACTCTTGCAAACCCACTGCTGCTTGCACGACTCCCCAGTAGCAGCTTTGGATAGCTCCTTTCCTACCAACGCCTTGTTTAGATGCCATCCAAATTTCAAGTTTTTTCACTCTTTCTCCATCACATCAATTTTTAGCCGCTTACATGGAGTATTAAATGTAGGTAAAAAAAATAACTAATTACACAGTTTAGTTGGAAATCACGAGATGAATCTTTTGTAGTTGGTCCACGATTGGACAATATTTGCCAAATAAGACGAAAGTGGTACTATTCATCGGGTTCACTTTTTTTGCAAAGTGAACGAGGCCCAAGGCCCTGTTTAGATCACACCCAAAATCCAAAAATTTTCAAGATTCTCCGTCACATCAAATCTTGTGGCACATGCATGGAGTATTAAATGTAGGTAAAAAGAATAACTAATTGCACAGTTTACCCATAATTGGTGAGACGAATCTTTTAAGCCTAAATAGTCCATAATTGGACAATTTTTATCAAATACAAACGAAAGTGCTACAGTAGCCAAACGCCAAAAATTTTTGCATCTAAACGGGGCCTAACTGAAACAGAGCTGAATTAATCGTCTGTACTTTGAACGAGCTGAGGTGCAGAAAGAAAAAAAATTGCCATCCTGATGAAGGTGCAAGAGAAACTGAGGTGCATAAACATATCCGTAGTTCACAAATGTTGCTTTCTTCCTGAACACTGAATACTGACAACCAGCACATGCAGCTTCATCTGAAGGGCTAACGAGATCCCCTGGCCAGATCGTATCGCCGTATGGCACCATGGTTTCATTAATCGATTAATAAACCAAATTAGATCAGGCACTGAACAGTTTTCTCCGGTCTTTCTATACTATTGTGTATTGTCTCAAGAATAATCAGAAAGAAGGCATGTCAAACCAGTGGCTCTAATATTCTACGATTTAATTTGAATATTTAACTCAGGGCCAAGCTGGCCATGTGCGTGCGTGCAGGCTACTGCTGCTTGGGCACTTGCAACATTTGTGCCACAACTTGACAAAAATCACATGGAGCCTCCCAATGATTGCTGGCACTGATAATCATCCGATGATGATGATTTGGACAGTAGTGTTTTGCGCCAGATAACCATTGCAGGCAGCTAAGCTGGTCTATAAAGAACGTGCTGCTAACATTTGGCTACAAAATATTTGTTTGCACCCTAGAGTTACACATCTACAGTCTAGCTATATGCAGCCTGTTCGGCTGGGGCTGAAACGATCGTATACGATCATGGATTATTACTGCTGACTGGTTTGGTGTGAGAGAAAAATACTGTTCTGACTGAAAATTTACGATCATTTACGACAAAGCGAACAAGCTGATGGGCTGGTCCAATAGTCCTTATTAACTCAAGGCAAGCCTTTGGCCCCGTTCGGATGGTATGGTTCTAAAGGAATTTGTATGAATTTGTATGGTTTGGAAGAATTCTGAAGGAATCTATGAGAGAAAAACACTGTTCCGGATAAAAAAAGAGCGAATCAAGCCGGATTTAAGGGCACGCGAACGGGACCAAAGCTGTTATATGTCTTGGAAAATGCAACTACTCTGCCTAAAATTAGCAGAGTTACTTGTAGAAACCAAACCACTTTGAAAAGCCACTTTAAATCCCAAGCAGAGTTGCAGCTAAACGTTGTTTTCTCCGACAAGCTAAATGTTACTTAGTTGGCGCACTTATTGCTGATAAAACCAGAGATTAGAACTATTATATGACCTTTTATGTGGTTGAGACGATCAGCAATCATGTGAAGTGGTTAGCTCTCAGAATGCTGTGCAGCTATTTGTGCAGTGGCCATTTCGGCATCAGGTTGGATTGAGATAGACCACACGAGAGGACAGAACCCCATGGCAAGGAAGAAACAAGTGCACGAGACGTGGAGACGTCAAGCAATTATTACCCAATTTCTCGAGCTGTCCTCTAGCCTCAACAGCTGCATGCCCTTGCCCCCAGCCAGCCATGCCACTGTTCACCCTTCAAAAGGCCAGCAGCTGCTTCCACAATCTCATCCACAGCGATCGCGAGCGTGCTGAGTGGTACACTTTCATGCCCTGTTTGGAGTTGCAGCAGCATCTGAAGAGAAGATGCAAACCACTGTCAGTGCCTATTCAGAACATACAACTAATCGGAAACAAAATACAATCTCTCATGAACCTTTCTTTGCATTTTGTTGTCGACTTATCACCCCCGAAGTCTGGCTAAGGAGGTGTTTGGTTGACCCTCCTAAATTTTAGTCGTTGTCTCATCGAATGTTTGACACATGCATGGAGTATTAAATATAGACTAATTATAAAACTAATTATATAGTTTGCGACTAATTTATGAAACGAATCTTTTAAGCCTAATTAATCCATAATTTGGCAATATTTTGCTACCGTAAACATGTGCTAATGACGGATTAATTATGCTTAAAAAATTCGTCCCGTGAAGTACTGACGGATTATGTAATTTATTTTTTATTAGTATTTGAACACCCCATGCAACATCCTCCCGACACACCTCCTAATTTTTAGTAGCTGGATCAAACACCCCCTAAATATCTTGCCCAGGTTAGAATGACTAACTTGCTGACACGATTGATGATACGGAGAACAAAAACAAGAGTAATATTTTAACTGTGTCAAGAGAGGCAGAAGAAACCTATACCATGCTATATTTGACTAGCATTGGGAGGTCCTTATAGGTTTTCCTCTTTGGATTAAACTATAAGCAGGGAGCCACCCTACTCCTAGCCAATAATAGTTGCACACGGTCATAAGATATGGGCAAGTTCAGAAAAACTGATGGTCAGTGATAGCTCCAAGTATACCTCCTTACAGCTCAGTCTACAGCTTAGAACCTAGTTCTCTCCCACATGGCCAAGTGAAATCACACGATGCTTCTCAGGTTCTCACCCTATAAATATGCACCCCCTGTCACTACACCCCTGCACCACACACCACAAGCCTAATACAGCTCAACACTTGCTAAAACTAGAGAGAGAGAGAGAGAGAGAGAGAGAGAGAGAGAGAGAGAGAGAGAGTCCATCGTGACACTAGGAAAAAAGAACCAAAATTAGCAAAGGGATGGTGTCACTAAGGAGAAGGCGGCCGTTCCAGCTCATGGTGCTGAGGCGGCTCCGGGAGCTCAAGAAGATTGTGCCGGTGGGTGCTCGCCGCAAGGCTGACGTAGATGTGGTTCTCCGGCAAACTGCTGAGTACATCTGCGCGCTAGAGCTGAAGGTGGCCATCCTCCGGAGGCTCTCTGACATCTACGGTGTGTAGCAAGCTCTGATACAATCAATCGATGGTTTGCATGCCAATCACCATTGCACATGTAAGAGGGGAGAGAGAACCTAGCTGCGTTTCTTGCCATGGGCATCTCTGTTCAACTCCTCCCTACCACCCACCAAAGTAGTAGCATAATTGTGCCTCCCCTATGCGTTTGGCTGGTCACATATGGAAGTGTGTCTAGTAGTTAAATCTGGCTGGAAAAGCCAGCCCGTTGCTCCAGCTGATTGCAAGAGAAATGCTTTCACTGGTGGTTGTCAATAGGCTGGAAGTAAGAGCTCGGCATGCATGGTTCGAGTATTTCATTTGTTTGTCGGTGTCGGTGTGTACTATGGATTTTTGCCTAGCTCTTCAGATCCTTGCCTCCTGTTATTGGCTTGACCTATAAGACTATATGCAAAGACACATGGAACCACATTCATCTAGCAAATAACAGCGTGTTTAGTTCCACCTCAACTTCCAAAAAGTTGCTACAGTACCTGTCACATCGAATGTTTACGGCTCATGCATAGAGCATTAAATGTAGACGAAAAGATAAACTAATTGCACAGTTTGGTGAGAAATTACGAGACGAACGTTTTGAGCCTAATTAGTCCATATTTGAACACTATTTGCCAAATAAAAACGAACATGCTACAGTAGCCCCAAAATCCAAATTCGTACAACTAAACAAGGGCTAACTAGTTAACTACCAAAAAACATTTGGATCATTTGGATGGGAACATCTGTCGTATTATGAATAATAGTCACTACTGAATACTGATTGAACTACTCATTAGAACGACGTGTACTTGTGTGTACCTACCAATCAGACACTTGAACCTCTCCACAACAAATAAAGACAATGGCAAAAATATTTGAGGAACAATCCTCCTTTCAGTCCATGTACTAATTAACCAATCAGTTGATCAAGTCAGGATTAAAGTAGGATACTCATACTGCAGGACCTTGTTCAGATTGTGAGGCAAGCACAAGTAGCACAAGAAATTCACTTGCCTGGCCGGACCATATCATGCGAGTGAAGATTCTCAAACTTTGCTGCATTAGAAGGTCGCCCTGTGGATAAGAACATAAGATGAAATACTATTTTAAATGCTGAATTATTATAGTTTTTAAGTCCCCAAGCAAGAGCGTCAAATGGGGTGTCGCTACTGAAAGGGAAGTTCTTTCTGTCAAGTCCATTTCTTCAGGTAGATAGACAGACAGACAGTTGATATTGTGGGATTTGATCCCTTTTACCCAAGGAGAATATATTGCTAACACGTCACATAAACTGGTGATCTACAATCATCCTACTTGAAAAGGATGCTATAATGAAGATAGAGCACATAGTACGTGCGGGGATTTACTTCATGTGTAAATGTACTGCTGACCAGATAGATGGCAGCTAGGATACCAGAGGAAGCGTCCAAGAAGGGCATGTGCATGCAAGACTGCTCTCTGGCCTTTTGCTCCACATCATTAGGGAGCGCTGTCCCCTTCTCTGTTCTCTCTCGCCAGTCGCCACCCTATCGCGGATTTATCCTTTTGGGTGAAAACAATCCTACAAAAACAAGCCAAAGTTTACCAAACAGGGAGACGCATACGTATTAACATGCCAATTAGCATTGAATTGAAAGGCTTCTGGTCTGTTTTACACTGTCATGTCCAGGCTTAAGCAATGTTAGATGCATGCAGAAGGAACATGCAGAAACTCCATAGTGAGATCAATCTTCCGATCCTTTTCTAGCAGGCACATTGATTCTTAAACGACCTGAACATAATGCTACCTTTCAACTTTCAGGCAGCAGATGTTGTCAAAAAAAAAAAAAAAACTTCAGGCAGCAGAGATACGCAGCCCTCAGAACGGTGACCATTAACTTGAATCTAGCAGTTCTCTTGGTGGGTGACATTAAATTCAACCGTGAGAGTTAACAGTAGTACACTCTACTGAGCCCAGGCTTCCTGTCGGGACAGTATCACACTGGAGAAAAAAACACTGCAACAGCGCGTGCTAAGCTGAGGGTGACAGTAAGATTCTGTATTTTACAGCACAGCCATGTGGGATATTCGCCTTGGGATTATTGTTCACAGCCAGGCCAGCTACGGGCTACTGCCATGGCATTTCAGCTACAGCCTGCAGGCTGCAAACGCAGCCATGTCTACTTGGTGGTTTCCCAGGCTTGGAACTAGGGGTTTTTTTTTATTATTTAAAAGAATGCGCGTGGCACTAGATTACTATGTCAGGTTAGGTGTTCTGTGGATATTAGGATTTTTGATTTTAGTACTCTCACACCTTGATCCACCTGTACTGTACAGCAGTCAGCTGGTTAGGACCTGTTCGTTTGGTCGTATTTGACTTATAAGGCTTATCAGCCAACGAACAGTATTTTTCTCTCACACCAAACTAGCCAACAGTACTTTCAGCCATGGCTTATAAGCCAAACCAGCCCAAATGAACAGGGCGCTTGACTCCACAATTTAAAACCATCGGAAAGTAGTCTGTGGCTGCAAACCAACTCTGCTCCAGACTAACGAATTTATTAGCAAGAATGCATGGGGGCATCAAGCCGTGCAGTTTCCTAAAGATGCAGCCAAGCTGAACTAAAGCATGGACGACAATCACATTGCTCCTAACTTTTCCAAGCTCGCTAACCAATCTTGTCGAAAATTAAAAGTATCTCAAAAAGTATTAAGGTAATCAGGGATCAACGCACAGCCTAGTGCACGTACAATGATATGGCCATCATAATATAGTGGCATCAAAGACACCTTTACCTTAATGATACAGCTCCAAGGGGTTGCGTGGCTTTATTGCAGCACCTGGAGCCCATCCATGTGTGAGCATGTGTCTCTGCGATGCTTTGATTTGGACTATCCACCATAGGCAAGTCGCAGCCCATGTAGCATGTGCTTGGCATTAGCTCGTAACGAGACAGCCATGCACAATGAAAAGACGCTAGATTAGGGTGACTGAAACAATGGTGGATTAGGCATATATATAAGAGCCAGGGATGGCAAGGCTGTAGTCCACTGAACCAGAGACAACAAAAAACAGTAACACATAGATTACCAAAATAATAGTAATACACATGTTACAACATCAACATATTAAACAGGACAAGGCTGGAACTAGGACACTACATGATCAAATACACTAATGCAAGGTCAAATAAAAAAATGGCACATGCAATACACTAATGCAAGGTCAAATAAAAAAATGGCACGCTAAATGACTAGGAAGCATTACCTGGAGCACTGATCGGAATAAGCGCAGCGCAGAATAGCAGTCAGGGTACAAGGTCGAATTTTTCTGCCTGACTCTTGGACAAACAAAATTCATGCTAAGAAAACCAACAAATATTACTTAATCCAGAATGCATGTAATTTGAGGTGGCCTGGACAAGCATGAAGTCATGATCGCTTCAATAAACGCATCATGAGGTTCCGTGATGCAAAATCAAGTTGTAACAACCAGAGATGCATGAAGACAACAAGTCTCCATACCATGGATCTGTCTAATGTTGTTTAGTAGACTTTTAAGAACCGAAGACAAATGAAGTACTCTCAAAGCAATAGACAATCATCAAACAATAGATATGATGCATGGTGCATATGGTCTGATAAGATGCTAAGAATGGTCCTCAAGAGATAGAAGGGAAAAAAATTGAAGATGGTGTGTATGACTTCCCCATGTTTCATTTCCTTTGAAGACGAAAAAGAGGAAAAAAATGATGGAACTTATTTTATAGACTAAGGGTGATGTGGGTCTTCAGTGCATCTCCTTCACATGCAGAAGGGCAGGGATTGCATTTGCAGAAGCAACTTTATAATGCAATTTTATCATCCAGACAGAATCTAGCAGAAAATATCAGTGCAATAATTATCAAGGAACTCCTCTATAGGAGTTTATGTTCTAACTTCTAAGAATTAATTAAGACATACATTGAGCATTTAACTATGGTCGAGTAGAACACACCTGGAACCATCAACATATATATCCAGCATCAGCACTTTCCTTCACATGATCAGCATCTTTTACCACAACCACAAAAGGGCAGGCCTTCCGGAAGAAAGCAAAGACTATACCCGAGTCTTAAGCCGTTAGACCAACCAGTCCTTATCCATGTCCTGCAGAAAGGAAAGGCTAATACTTCCATTTCGGCGCAATCAGATCAAGTATCTCCATTGATTCTCTCACTGAACTTCTAATGTGGGTGCCACTGCACAGAAAAGGTATACTCATAAAATTCCACAGCAAAGGTGAACATAACATGATTCGAGATAACAAATTTGAAAGCTCTACCTCTCACTCTCTCAGCAAACCAGAAACCTACAAAAATCAGACGCTCAAATTCAAAACGCAGACACAGCACTGGAACTAGTTCCTCACCATAAAAACCTCATTTTCTGTGCACAGACAACCCTTTTTTTCGAAGAACCTTCGAAAAAGGCAGGGAGCTCCTGCAGTTCACTTAAGAAGAAAGAATTGACCTGGTTTATATGGTGAACTGGGCCCAAAAACCATACAACTGCACTATTAATTTGAGGAAAACCCGCCAAAAAAAGCACAAACAACCTTTTGATCAGATTTAACATAAGCAAATTAAGTTTTGTTTGCAGGTGAGCCAAATCCAGTTGGAAGTCCATGCAGATGTGGGTCTCTAAGCCATGTGCACACATGTGGCTGGTCCTGTGCTTCTGTTCCAACTAATTCAGATAAGCCACCTTCCTTCCTTCCGTATGGATTTCTCATGCAGTTCCGGACCACTGATTAAATATCATTTATTCCCACATTTAGCACCACAAAAATCTCATGCATGGCCATGGAGATGTACTTCTCTGATAAGGCCCGACATAAGAAGTGGTCATATTCAACCATGCTTAAATCAGATCAGATCTCATGATTGTCCACGCTTGACCGTGCCCCCACGAGCTCATCATTCCACGCAACTAACCTTATTAAACCCAAACAAAAGTTACATCGAAGAGCAATAATGAAAGTGGCCCAAGAGCTTTTCTATTCTATGCTATCAACAGCCACTAGAAACATGTTTCAAGATCATCAAAGGATACCTTAGTGGACACACTAGAATCAATATTCCTGAGAAGTCTGAAGGAGAAAACAGAAAGCACAGCATACAGAAAGGGAAGGGACTAAAACAAGAACAACATGACAGATTAACATCTGCAATCCAAGACTGAGAAAAGGGATTTATTGTATTCATGTTTTCCAAAATGCTCATCTCTATGCCAGTTTGATTCACATTAGAAAAGGAAGACAAACAAATCAAGTATGATGGGATGGACAGCACAATAATAAACACCAACTGTAACAAACTAACAACATCACAATTCAGCAACAGAGAAACAAAGGAGAATCAACAAGCTACACTGAATGGCAACAGGATATCAGTTTGGGGAGCGCTCTGTCAAGGGCGTCGGCGTTGAGGGTAGCAGGACCCCGACTACGTAGTTCGTAGTCGCGATCCGTGACTAAGGCGAGGTTTTACCCCTCTGCTCTTAGCCGGTTAGGAAGAAGGGAGGAGTAGAGGTGTAGATGATAATATCTTGCTTATCTTTATTCCTTTCCAACGTCCCAGGCTAAATAGGCCTTAGGGGCTAACAAACCAAGAGCTAATTGTTCCTTAATCTAAGGAACCGATTTGATACTCTTTCTATCCTAGCCACTGGATGGATTAACCTGCCCTGCATGCCCAAGGGCGATGGCGCGGCCCCAGCAGCGCGCTTGGCATTGCGGCGTATGTCTCGGGCGCGCCGTTTCCTTGCATATGGGCGGCCCCACATGACATCTCTCCCCCCCCTCGATGAACAGCTCGTCCTCGAGCTGGAAGGAAGGGAACCTGTCACGAAAGGAGTCCAAGTCTTCCCATGTAGCCGAGGCCGCAGGTTCGCCTTTCCATTGGATGAGCACCTGGCGAGTCCCATGGGCCAGGCGAGCGCGCACCGCGTGTTCCGGCTCTGGCTCCACCACACCGTTGTGCAGAGCTGGGAGAGGCGGCGGAGCAGCTGGAGGATCGCCCACCCACTTCTTCAGGAGGCCGACGTGGAAGACATCATGGAGCTTGGCGCGCGGGGGTAAGGCGAGGCGTACAACCACATCGTTGATGAGCTCCGTGACGCGGTAGGGCCCGAAGAAGCGTGGCTGCAGCTTCCCTTTGGGCGCCTGGGATAGCGACGCGACTGGGCGATGGCGTAAGCGAAGCAGGACCCAGTCGCCCACGGCGTAGGAGACGTGCCGGTGATGCTTGTCATAATGAAGCTTCTGGACATCTTGAGCTTGCTGCAGCCGGTACCGCGCGGCCGCCAAGAACTCCTCGCGTTCCTCCATCGTTTGGGCCACCGCCGCCACGCGCGTGTCCCCAGGCTCATAGGAGCGGATGGTTGGAGGATCGCGGCCATAGACCACCCTGAATGGCGTGTCGTGCAGTGAGGTCTGGTACGCCGTGTTGTAGATGTACTCGGCCCACGGCAGCCAGCGCAGCCATTGACGTGGACGGTCGCCGGTGAAACACCTCAGGTACATGGCGATGACACGGTTGGCCGCCTCTATCTGGCCATCCGATTGCGGGTGGAAAGCCGACGTCATGTGTGACTTGGTGCCCATGAGTCGCATCAGCTCCTTCCAGAACGTGGAGGTGAACACGGGGTCCCGATCCGACACCATGGACTGTGGCATCCCATGGAGGCGGACAATGTCG